ACACAACTCTCACACGTACAACGTCTCAACGCATACATTTACTAGCGTGAGAGATACGGATGAGGAATTTACGATTGACCAGTGTTGACGGTGTGTGCGTGCCGTATGTGCCGTTGCGCGCGTGCGTGCGTGAGACAGCGCGCTCGTTGGGGGGGCGCCGGAGGTGGGGGTGGCGGTAGCTGCGCAGTGTTTTGCTCTATCGTAATCATGTGTTAGACGACCGATTCCGGGGGTGTGAGGTGCGTGCGTTGCGCGCGTGATGCGAGGGTGCGTGCGCGCGTATGCGAGGGTAATGGCTCGTTCTCCGGCTCCGCGACGAAACAGCTGCGTAAAGACAGCGAATTGTTACGGATGAAGCACCGCCTTAGTCATTATAATTCCCATTAGGTGGGTGTAGCCGCCGTGCCAGGCTGCTCGTACATGCGTGCTTATACCTGTCAGCGTAGGCGCAGGACCAAGAAAATGCCGTCATTATACTGAAACACACGTTGTATAATATTGAGCCGATAGGGCGTTTAGGGTTGCGCGAGACATCGTTGGGTATAAGGTTGATACGATTTCACGCGCCACTCACGACCATCGATGGTGAGCAGCATGCTGGAACCAGACGCGCAAACTCGCTCACTCACACAACAGTACTCGAGTCGCGACACACACACACAGAGCTCCGCGCGGCACGCCACAACACACAGGACTAACACACATACACGACAAAACTAACAACTCAGCACACGCGCCACGTAGCTCATCGCACACACACACTATATACTGGCAAAGCACGAACAACGCACACACAGAGCCACACACACACGCGCGCACCGACACACGCACACACACACACACACGCGCGCCACGACACCACACACACACACACGCGCGCACACACACACACATACGCGCGGCACACGCACACACACACGTACAACGCACACACACACAACCACACACACACACCACACACACACACATACACACGCGGCGGCGGCGCACGCACACACACACATAAGTCACCTTGCAGTGTTACGCCATGCACGTGCTACGACTGTCTGCGTTGCCCACGCCTTACCAGCCCTGCCCGTGGCCAGCGGAGACGGGAGGGACGAGAGAGAGGAGAGAGGGGGAGGCAGGGGAGGGGTGCCACAGCGCGAGATAAGGGATGGGAGAGGCAAAGCTGGCACTGTGGGTGGATTCTAGATTTTCCACGTTTAAATCGTTTCAGCTGAACGCTCTGGCTAGAAAATCCGGGCGGTGAGTTCTGTGTCGCGTGATGTCCGTGCATAAGGTGTCGAGAAAGATCACGATACAAGTGGATGGAGAGAAGCAGAGAGAGAGTAGTGGTGGTGTGCTGTAGTCAGAGGGGCCGATTACGGAAGATAGTTGGTTTGCATTAATTTATTGGTTAATTGCATTTCAGTTACCAGAGAAGAGTCTAGAGACGCCATTTTAATTTCAAATACGCAGATTTTGCCTCTCGGAAATTCGAATTTTCATTTCAAAATTTTCCGAGAGAACTAGTCCAGGAAGTGTATTTTCGCAGAGGATTGCAAAGATTCATTCTGTACATTCCAAATCAGTATTTGAGATGAGTAGATGAGACTTGTTGTTCGAATTTAATTTGCAATTCCAAATTCCATTTCATTTCAAATTAATTTTGCATTCCAAATTGTAACTGTTTCATTTCAAAATTCATGTCTCGCGATGTAGTCTAAAATTCATTGTCCATTTCGAAATTCATCTTTACTTTTCAAATTCATGTTTCCATTCCAAATTCATTTTGTTCTCCGTCTCCCAGCGTCTGCCACACATACATTTGTCATTGTTGCAAACATCCTGTGTCTCTTTGTTGTCTTTTCATGATTGTGCCTAGTTTTTGCGATTGCGAAAATTTTATTTTGCGGGGAGAACAAAATCGCGGTCGCGCCGCGAGATGCTACGGCAGTATTGGCTGGGGCCGCGAGTTGAACGTCACGTTCGCCCTTAGCTGCGCGACCATGCGAGCTTCAACAAAACCTTTCAAAACAAAAGAACAAAACGCCAATTTGGCTAAATGCTGTTGTTTGGTTTGGTGGTGTGCGACGCGCGGCGCGTGCGTGCAGTGCCGTGACGTGCGTGCGTGCGTGCATGATCGGCAGATAATTAAGTTTGTACTGAATGTTATATTCCTATGAAAAACACACCATTTTACTCATCTGTGTGTGATGATGCTTGTATTAGCACTATAATAGTCACTTATAATTTGGCAATTCTTTGTGTTCAAAATGTGTTTGTTGTGATAGCTCCATTATTAAAGTTATGAGAGGGGCTTAGCGCTCTCGCTAATACTACATACGTACGAAGGTGTACTGGCTAACTATAGGCCTGCGCCTTCCTGTCACTGAGGATCTTTCGCGTGTTGTTGTGTGTGTGTGAGTGGCAGAGTGCGTGTGCCTTTACTAGGCGCCAATGTGTGTGTGTGTGTGTGTGTGGAGTGGGAGAGTGCGAAGAGCAGGAGCAGAGAGGC